CTCTGTGGTAGGAGAGAGGGAGAAGGGGGGAGGGGAGAGAGGATCAAGAGGGGCAGAGGCCGCAGAACCAGTAGAAGGAATGCAGAATATCAGGGAATCCCCCTGGATGCTTGCTGAACCCTCCGTACCTCTGTGGCAGGAGAGGGGGGGAGGGGATGGGGGAAAGGGTAGAAGGGGATTAAGCCGGGCTCCCTGGCCAGACAAACCCAGCAGACCCCGTAGAAAGAGTGAAGGATGTCAGGGAACTCCCCTGGGTGCTTGCTGACTAAACCCGCCGTATTGCTGTGGAGACAGAAGGCTAAAAGAGAAGGAGAGGGGAGAGTGGATCAAAAACAGAACTCGCAGACCTCGCAGAAAGAATGGAGGATGTCTGGGAAACCCCCCTGGGTGCTTCTTCAGCATATACGGTTCACCGTTGTTGGGATCTGTTTGTGCTTTTCGTTTGTGTGCATCTCTTTCTGCTGCAATGTTCCTCATGCCCGCTGCAGGCACAGAAACCACTACAGCCAGGACAGACAGACCAGCCCCAGAAGCCACAACATCCACAGCAGCCACAGCTGACACTCCACTCACAGCTGACACAGCACCAACAGCCGACACAGCACTCACAGCTGACACAGCAACCACAGCTGACACAGCACTCATAGCTGACACAGCACCCACAGCTGACACAGCACCCACAGCTGACACAGCACCAACAGTTGACACTCCACTCACAGCTGACACAGCACCCACAGCTGACACTCCACTCACAGTTGACACATCACCCACAGCTGACACAGCACTCACAGCTGACACAACATCCATAGCTGTGAGTGCTGTGTCAGTTGTGAGTGTTGTGTCAATTGTGGTTGCTGTATCAGCTGTGGGTGCTGTGTCAGCTGTGAGTGTTGTGTCAGCTGTGAGTGGAGTGTCAGTTGTGGATGCTGTATCAGCTATGAGTAAAGTGTCAGCTGTGGGTGTTGTGTCAGCTATGAGTGCTGTGTCAACTGTGGTTGCTGTGTCAGCTGTAAGTGCTGTGTCGGCTGTGGGTGCTGTGTCAACTGTGAGTGGAGTGTCAGCTGTGGCTGCTGTGGATGTTGTGGCTTCTGGGGCTGGTCTGTCTGTCCTGGCTGTAGTGGTTTCTGTGCCTGTAGCGGGCATGAGGAACATTGCAGCAGAAAGAGATGCACACAAACGAAAAACACAAACAGATCCCAACAATGGTGAACCGTACATGCTGAGACGCCACTTCTTAAACTCATCCCAACCCACACCTCGTCACTTCCAGTTGGGGTGGTGGTGGAAGAGGGTGTAGGGTTCAGAAGCCGGTTTGACGTTTGACCTCCCACCCTCTCCCCTCTCCCCGCCTCGCTTTCCTCCCCTCTCCCTTCCCTTCTCCCCTCATCCTCGCCCTCCCTCTCATCCTCCCCCTTCTCCTCTTTTTACCTCATCTCCACCTCTTCCTCTTCCCTCTCCACCTCGTCATCTTCCCTGTCCACCTCTTCCTCTCCTCTCTTTTGCCTCTTCCTCTCTCTCCCTAAGCTACACGCGCACCTCTGAGCAGCAGCGACAGAGGCGGAGCACAGGAAGATTTGGCAGCAACAACAGCATGAGTAGGAGGAGAAGCAGCAGTTCGGGTTGGTGTTGGCTGCTGAACCCGCAGATCCCTTAGAAAAAGTGCAGGATGTCAAGGAATTCCCCTGGTTGCTTGCTCATCCCCATGTGGTGGAAGGTGAGAAGGAAGCTTTGATGATACAAGTGCTGCTCATCCCCATGTTGTTGCTCATCATGTGCTGCTCATCCCCATGTGCTGCTCATCCCTATGTGCTGATCACCCCCGGCTGCTGACAGCTGAAAAGCTTGACACAAGTGCTGCTGAGTCACTCACGGTGTTCTGGCAGGTAAAAAGGAAGTTTCGGAGGGCTGGGAAGTCAATGAGGTGGTCTGCTCCCAGCATCCTCAGCGTGCCGCCCACCCTGGGAGAGAGAGAGTGAAGAGGGAAGAGAGACGGGATGGGAGTGGGTGATGAATGGCAGTATGAACACAGAGTGACAGGTGTGCCTCGAGCATGGTCAATGAGGTGACCTGCTCCCAGCATGCTCAGTGTGCCGCCCACCCTGGGGAAGAAAGAAGGGATGGCGGTTGATATGAATCAAGAGGGGACAGCAGGTGAAACGAACTGTGAGTGTGTTGCCTACCCTGAGACCAGAGGATTGCAAATGATTGAAGCAAAGAGTTTGACAGTCTATCATCTATCGTACGAAATGAGCCGCGCCATTGGTGAGAAAACGGACGAGATGGTTACATAATGAACGAATGAAACGGAGATGGGGCACCAGAAGAGAGCGGGGCACATGAACAGAAACGAGCATAGGATAGGAATAGAGCCCACCAGAAGGCATAGCACGTGTCGGCTGGCTTGTTGCGCCGGCCCTGAAACCCCCCCTCCGGTCCTTGCCTCTGCTTCCATGCAGGGAACAGATGGGATGGGACGCGGTGGAAAGGAGTGGGGTGGGATGGGATGAGTGGGATGGAGGATGGGGGATGGGTGAGGACGAGAACAGATGCAGTTGGTTATGAGGTGGTGTTGCCTTTTGCCATGAGGTACAGAGAGTTGCAGCGAGGTACAGCGGGGTGCAGCGGGGTGCAGCAAAAGTCAAGATTCTGCACGTGTAACCAACAGCACCCACCAGCCCACCCCAACAAAAGAGCGCAACGATGGGATACAAGAGCAGACCTGAAGGCACCAATCCATCAGCGGAAGAACGTCAGCAGAGAGTACATGGGAGATGCGTGTCTGCTCTTCTGCTGCGGGCACGTCTGCTGCTGCTGCTGCTGCTGCTGCTGACTCCTCTTGTGCACCTGCTGTTACGGCTGACTCATTGCGTGAGCGTGCTGCTGGTGCTGATAGCAATTGCAGCAGTGGCGACAGCGGCAGCGGCAGCTGTGATAGCGATGATGCTGATGCTGCTGAAGCTGCTCCTGATGCTCCTAATGACGAAACTGCTGATGCTGATGGTGGTAATGGTGATGACACTGCTTCTGTTGCTCCTGCTGATGAAGCTGCTGCTGCTGCTGCTGATGACAGCAATAGTGATGATGTGGAAGATGCAATGAGCTGCAGCGCTGCCACGGCACAGTAGGTCGCTCCTCCTGCACACCAAAGGAAAAGATATTGCAGTCACAAAGAAATGAATTTGAGTCCAGGAACAGCAGGTTGCCCCCCCTCCCCAACAACAACAAAAAAAAAAAACCCCGGGAAATATGGAACTATTTTTTTGCGACTAAGAACCCACCATGTGCTTCGCAGCCCGGGCCGAGGCCGAACCCACCATCAAATGACTGGTGCAGGGAGTTAGGAAGAGGAAAATGCCAAGCCAGGCAGGGGAATGGAAGGAATGGTGACTCAAGAACAAACCTGAAACCCATCTTCGAACTGTCCCAAAAAAACATGAACTGCTTCACTGCTCAAGGAGATTTTGAGAATTCTTTAAAACACCATGATCAGAACAATTGCTGCACAGCTCAAGCCCACAGAAGGAACATTGCCCGCCAGCCCCCCATGCCCACTCCCCCATCCCCCCAACCCACTTCCCCATACCCACTCCGTCATGCCCACTCCCCATCCCCCAAGCCCACTTCCCCATACCCACTCCGCCATGCCCACTCCCCGCGTCCCCCAACCACCCTCCCCCATGCCCACTCCCCCCCATTCCCACTCCTATACCTACCTGTGCATACCTGTGTGTACCTGTGTGTACCTGTGTGTACCTGTGTGTACCTGTGTGTACCTGTGCGTACCTGTGTGTACCTGTGTGTACCTGTGCGTACCTGTGTGTACCTGTGCGTACCTGTGCGTACCTGTGTGCACCTGTGCGTACCTGTGCGTACCTGTGCGTACCTGTGCGTACCTGTGCGTACCTGTGCGTACCTGTGCATACCTGTGCGTACCTGTGCGTACCTGTGCGTACCTGTGCGTACCTGTGCGTACCTGTGCATACCTGTGCGTACCTGTGCGTACCTGTGCGTACCTGTGCGTACCTGTGCGTACCTGTGTGTACCTGTGTGTACCTGTGCGTATCTGTGCGTAACTCTGCGTACCTGTGCGTACCTCTGCGTACCTCTGCGTACCTCTGCGTACCTGTGCGTACCTCTGCATACCTGTGCGTACCTGTGCGTACCTGTGCGTACCTGTGCGTACCTGTGCGTACCTGTGCGTACCTACCTGTGCATACCTGTGCGTACCTGTGCGTACCTGTGTGTACCTGTGTGTACCTGTGCGTACCTGTGCGTACCTGTGCGTACCTGTGCGTACCTGTGCGTACCTGTGTGTACCTGGGTGTACCTGTGCGTATCTGTGCGTACCTCTGCGTACCTGTGCGTACCTCTGCGTACCTGTGCGTACCTGTGCGTACCTGTGCGTACCTCTGCGTACCTGTGCGTACCTCTGCGTACCTGTGCGTACCTCTGCGTACCTGTGCGTACCTCTGCGTACCTGTGCGTACCTCTGCGTACCTGTGCGTACCTCTGCGTACCTGTGCGTACCTGTGCGTACCTGTGCGTACCTGTGCGTACCTGTGACCTCTGAATGTAGTCAATGGCACGGGGGACGCTCACTCCCCGCCAATCATGCTCGAAATGGCCGCTGCCAGGTGGGTGGTGTAATTCAGGTCGTACGGTACGGGAGAAAATGGGTTGTGAAAATGGGTCGTGAAAATGGGTCGTGAAAATGGGTCGTGAAAATGGGTCGTGAAAATGGGTCGTGAAAATGGGTCGTGAAAATGGGTCGTGAAAATCGGTCGTGAAAATGGGTCGAAAATGTAGTTCTGTGTTGCGAATTCAGTTTCGGCTTGTCACACAAAGTATTCTATAATATGCATGGGAGCTGCTGCAAGGCACGGCACACTTGCGTAGAGCTTTTAATATTGATCATTCATTTGTCCTCCCCATGTCAATAGACTACACTCATGCTCGTAATATGAGTGCTAATGATCATGCTCATGAGTGCTTCGGTGGCCTTACGTGATACGTCCACACCTTCGCCGCCCCTCACCACCCCCCAGCACCCCTAACCACCCCTCACCAGCGCAGAAGACGAAGCGCATATCGGACTCGCTCCCGCAAGCAACAGGCATGAAACTGGGGACTCAAAAGAGCAGCGAGGGAGGTCGAATGTGGAGTGGGAGGAAAGGGGCATCGAGGAATGTGAGAAGCTGGAGTGGCAAAGCGGAGTGGCAAAGCGGAGTGGCAAAGCGGAGTGGCAAAGCGGAATGGCAAAGCGGAGTGGCAAAGTGGAATGGCAAAGCGGAGTGGCAAAGCGGAATGGCAAAGCGGAGTGGCAAAGCGGAGTGGCAAACCGGAATGGAAAAATGGTGAAGGGGCGGGGCATGGGCGCGAGAGGCTTGCATGGGGAGCCAGGAGAAAGAAAGGAAGCTTGAGAAGAAAACTGGAAACACACTCCCTTCACCCTAATCCTGTCGTGGTCACATCGGTGCAGCATTAAAAGAGTTCAACTCACCTCCCTTACAATTCACCCCACCCCAGACCACCCCACCCCACCCCACCCCACCCCACCCCAGCCCAGCCCAGCCCAGTCCAGCCTAGTCGGGTCCGGCCTGGCCCAACGGTTTATCTCACCTCCCGTCTTGCAGCTGCAGCTCTAGCAGCGACTTTGCCATGCCTCGCACCTCCCCTGCCATGCCCCCCCGCTCCCCTGCTGTCCCACACACTGCTGCATCCACCCCATCCCCACACCTCGCACCCGGCCCCTCGCTGCCCCTCTCTTTCGCCTCCTCGCCTGCACACCCTGCCCTTTCCCCCTCACAGCACCCTACCACTGAATTTTCCTTGCAGCTGACACTGCAATCAGCAGTGCAACTGGCGTTGGAGCCACCACTGGAACCGGCATTGCAAACGTCACCGCTGACAGGAAGACTGGGAACAGGCTCATCATTTAGGGTGGCGAGGATGGCGAGGGCAGTGTAGGTCATCGCGATGTGGCTGCAGTCGTAGGGCGACTGCTTGGGCGCCTGTGAGACGAGGGGGGTGATATGAGGGGTTCCAAAGGGTACAGAGGGGTGCAAAGGGGTGCAATTGGGTGCAAAATGGTTCGACAGTCTTTATGAACTGCGAATAATAACAGGCTCATCATTTAGGGTGGCGAGGATGGCGAGGGCAGTGTAGGTCATTGCGATGTGGCTGCAGTCGTTGGGGGGCTGCTTGGGCGCCTGTGAGATGACAAGGGTGCAAAGGGGTACAAATCGGTGCAATGGGGTGCAACATTCTTGATTCACTGTACCACCTCTGTGACTCTGTCTGCACCCGAACACAAACGAAACTCAACTATCACAACGTCTCCTCTGCACCCTGCTGTAAGTTGTAAACAAAACTCAATTCTCAACCCACTACTCACCCCTCGAGTGCTGTACTCCACACCAATGGAAGGTGAGCCTCGAAACCCTAGCACGTCTGCACCAAGGCCCAAAGGACCATAGCTGCTGCTGGCACACAATGCTGAGGTTTCTCGTTCCCGTGTTGCTTCACACAAAGCAACAGCATTGTGTGCCATGCTGGCGCCGCCGCTGCCGCTGTCTCCTGAAGCCACGTCAGCACCAGCTTGCACGGATAACGTTGAGATGGAAGCAGTGGCTTCGGCGATTGGAGGGGGAGTGGCGGTAGAACGAGTTACAGGGATACCACCAATCTTCTTCGCCTGGAGCAGTTCAGGGTCCAGGACCTTCAGGGAATGCACCCAGTTGAGAATCTTCTGCCGATCCACCTGAGACAATCAAGCATGAAAACCGAGGAGTTTTGTGTAAGAGAGTTTGTAGCAGGGTTACAACGCTTATACCGCGTACACACCTGGTCAAGAGCTTGCAGGAGATCCAAAGCGACGATGCAGAAGTAAGCCAACGTGAGCCGGTTGGTGTCAAGTCAATTCACGATGCAAATGCTCATAATGCTAACGCTTATAGCGCGTACTCGCCTGGTCAAGAGCTTGCAGGAGATCCAGAGCGACGATGCAAAAGTAAGCCAGCGTGAGCCGGTTGCTCTCCTGCGACTCGTACGCGGCGGGAAGACCGTTGAGGCAGTTAACGAAGTAAAACACGTGGCGATCACGCTCGAAGCGCGGAGCGGCTTCAGACGCATCTTCTGCTGCTGACGACATAACGCCGATGTCCTGAATCCCCCTGATCAGTAAAACGTGAATCGGGAATGTGTTTTGTACTGTCCCGATGTCAATTTCGCAACACGTATCGCGGCCTTATGTATGTCGCGGTTCGTGAGGTCTTGGCAAACCAATTGGAGCGAACTGATGGTATGAAGATTTGGGTGGGACAGACTGATAGTAGTCCTAGTGGATGGCTTCTTGAAAAGCGCATCAGTCAGCAGCAGGTCGGATTTTGAACGATTACCGCACTGAAACAGTGTCACTGGCTTCTTACCGTGCCAAACCGTGATTAACCATTCGTATACTACGGAATTGCCACCCCCCCAGGTAAACAAGTACAGTAAAGAACACCAATAACAAATAACATTGAGCACAGATTGCTAACCCACCCACAAAGTTGAGTACCCGCAACATTCTTAAATGCTTACCTAAAACCTTTTACTCCCTCTTTTACCTCCTTTATCATCCGACCAAAACTTAGTTCCACCTTCAGCCTCAACCACCCACGCTTCCACTCCAGACACCCCTTCCCCAGATGATGCCTTTTGTGAACCTTGGCCACCCTTCTTCCACAGCCGTACTTTTTCAGGGGCAGGCAAAGATTTCTGAATGCCTCTTGTGCTGCCCCGGGTAGATGAAACACCAGTGTACACTGAAGCTGCTGAAACATGACCTCTTTTAGATGATGCCGAAGAAGACAATAAAGAGGATGAAGGATGAGATGAATTTGAAGAAGAGCTGCTATCCTGCTCTGCCAGGTGTCGCCACCTGATTCGTGGGGCGGTCAGGTGGGTTCTGTGCAAGTCAACCTGAACTTCAGAGTGCAGGAGAGCTTCAGATTGCTGCAGCCAGATAACACCTCCCCCTGCTCTCACCTGCCCGTCCATACTCGGGCATGATGCTGAGATCGGCCCAACCAATGAGATTTCTCCACGTGGCACATTCCACTCAAACCCTCCTGAACACTCCACTCCTGTCCACGCGCTCTCGTTCCCTCTCCCACTCTTCCCCGCATCCCTCCGCTTCAAACCTCCACCACTACCTGCCAACCCATGCCGCCCATGCCCTACCGCCCCCTGCTGCTGCCGTTGACTACTTTCAGCATCCTTGATCAGCCTCGAAATGCCTCTTAACGAGCCAGATACTAACGAGGACGGCAGGCTGACCCAGCCTTTGACAGGGCCCTGTGCGACCACATGAGCATCAGCGGATAACCACCAGGGTACTTCTGCCATTGACTTGTGCTCCTGATGCTCCTCAACCTGCTCCTGCTCCTGCTCCTGCTCCTGATCCTGCTGCTGCATTGACATTTGCTGCTGGGATATCAGCCGAGGATGCTGCTGCTGCTGCTGCTGCTGCTGCTGCAATACCTCCTCTTCATGCGGTGCTCTGGCTCTCCTCGCATCACTAGCCCACACTGGTAGTTGCTTCATATGTTCCCCCTTTCTCATCGGCCAAGTTCTCTTCTGCTGCTGCTGCTGCTGCTGCTGCTGCTGCTGCTGCTGCTGCTGCTGCTGCTGCTGCTGCTGCTGCTGCTGCTGCTGCTGCTGCTGCTGCTGCTGCTGCTGCTGCTGCTGCTGCTGCTGCTGCTGCTGCTGCTGCAGGAGTTGCACCTTCCCCTGCAGCTCCTGCTGCTGGGCTGGGTTCTCCTTGAGAGGAGACGGACTGAGCGAGAGATGCTCGAGTGATGGAGACACGAGGCAGACTCACGTGGAAGGTTCCAGGAAGGCTGCAGCTCACAGAATCTGTGAGCAACAGGCGGGATGCAGGGGCATTCCAGCTCTGTGTGTGCGTGAAAGGGAACGGGGAAGGGGGAAAGCAGAGGAAAAAGGGAGGAAGAGGGAGGCGGGTGGGGTTGGGGTGGACAACTTTCTATGTGGCAAAAGACAGAATCTGTGAGCAGCAGGCGAGATTGAGGGGCATCCCAACTCTGCGTGTGCGTGAAAGGGAACGGGGAAGGGGAAACGGGGAAGAGCGGGGGGGAAAGGGGGGGGGGGGGGGGAAAGGGGAGGACGAGGGAGAGGGGTGGGGTTGGGGTGGACAAAAAGGAACGAGGGAGGATAGTGTTGGGGTGGACAAAAAGGAACGAGGGAGGATAGTGTTGGGGTGGACAAAAAGGAACGAGGGAGGATAGTGTTGGGGTGGACAAAAAGGAACGAGGGAGGATAGTGTTGGGGTGGACAAAAAGGAACGAGGGAGGATAGTGTTGGGGTGGACAAAAAGGAACGAGGGAGGATAGTGTTGGGGTGGACAAAAAGGAACGAGGGAGGATAGTGTAAGGTTTAAAAGACAGCAGGGTCCTCGTATGGTACAGGAATATTGAGAAGCATTTGATTTCCGTGTAAGGTTTAAAAGACAGCAGGTGGAAGTGCAGGAGGGGTTGGGAAGGATACTCACAAGATGGCCTGACGTGAATTGCGCTCCTGACTGTGAATCTGTTACAAGCACATTTCCTGCATTCACAACTACAATAATGATAAGACACAGCTTGTTTTCTATTAATTTCAATGAGAATGCTGCTTGCTTTTCATATTGTTAATTTGACCAGCGACCTTCACTTCACCAGTGACGTTGATTGTGGAATCCAATGCTTGTGCTGAGTCGCCTCTAAACGCGTACAGAGGCCTGCCGTCCTGAAACAGATGCCCTTCGACCTGATGGTGGCGACACAGAGGAGGAGACGAGCGGAGAGGAAAGGAGAGGAGAGTTGACTTTGGAGTCGACTCAAAAGTCAACTTCGTCCTGAAGTCAACAGCTGCCCTTCTACCTGATGGTGACGAGACAGAGGAGGAGACGAGCGGAGAGGAGAGGAGGGAAAGGAATGCGAGGAGAGGAGAGAGGGAAGGGAACGTGAGGAGGGATGAGGGGATGAGAGGAGGGGAGAGCGAAAGGCCTTTGAGACAAGACACGAGAAGGGGAGACGGTAAAGCTGAGAGAGACAGTAACTGAAGGACGGCAGGGATGAAACGAAGCAGGATCCAAGAAGAAATTATTCAAATCAAACGAGGGCATTAATGTAGGTGAGGGCATTTATGGGTTATGTTGATTACCTTGGTCGCCATGACACCACCTTCCGCCATTCCTTGGGCTTCTCTCTCATCCTTCCTCTCCCCATCCAGGTTTTCCTTCCCCCTCTCCTCCCCCTCCCCTTCCCTGCGCCTCTCCGCTTCCCCAGCCACGCCGGAGCGCAGCGAATCGGCGCGCAGCGACCACGCCAGCTGGCAGCCGCTCATAGGATCTCCCGCGCTGACGAATCGCTGAAGAACTATGCCTCGCGCAGAGAGCGATGCGGAAGGCGCGCCGTCACCACCACTCCCGACATTCTCGCTGCCGCCATTTCCCGCGGTGGCCCTGCTAGCTTCAGTTTTGTTTGCTGGGAGCTGACCACTTTCGCGAACTGTGTTTTTTTTACGCCGGATCCGTTCGTATACATTTCGCGAATGCTCGCCAAGCGAGAAAATGCGTTGCGAAATGCCGTCGCGAAACGCCCGTAACGCATCGTCACGTCCCCGTACCCCGGATACGCTGGCCATGCGTACTGGAGTCGCACGGACGAAGCCGAGTGCGGAAGATCAGAGGTGGATGCGAAATGCGAAATGGAACTATGGAGAAATGTGCTCTTTGGTTGGTCTACTGATCAGCCCCATTTCATTCCTCGATACTAGCTGCTCCGTATTTTCCTCAACAAAGGTCAAACTCCGGAAGGTTATTTGAGACGAAACTTTTCACTAATGAAATGCTTCAGGCAACGAAGCAAGACAAATCAGATTCAGCCTCTAAATCTAATGGATCAATCTGTACCGCTCCACGCATTTCTGCTGAATCCCTACAAAGCCGTACCTTCATCGTGCCACCCGTCTTCTTTCCATGCTTTCAGTAGACCTTGGAATTGGCAGTGGATGAGCCTCTGTATTGAAGACGTATTTGTCAAATGGAAGAACGTCCTTCTCCCCAAAGAGGAGGTAGAAGTACTTGAGGGTTTCCCCGAGGAAGAACGTTTCCATCTTGTTACGCTTTGGAGGGGGCACCCGAGAGACATCGTCGAGCGAAGTGTATCCGCCTGATGCCACACGCGTATGTTGTTCAAATGCTTGGAACATCTTCCACCCCGCCTCGCGATACCTGCAGTTCATGTGACAAAAAACAACAGAAAGGCGATAAAATAACTTCAGAGCACATGCGGAGTGGCTGTCGCGCGGATCATATCAAAAGCCAAGATACTCCATAAGCGGTCCGACTCAAACTCAAATAACCCTATTCCCAGTGACTTGGTGCATGTACAAAAGCCTCCATTGCCTCGAGTCTCTCTCTCTCACACAAGCACCATGGATACCCAGACACACCTTAAATTCCCACTGACCCATTGCATGTAAAACAGGGCCTCCTCAATCTGGGGCATCAGCAGGCTTCCAGTAACCAGGTTACATACCATGGGTTCCCAGTAACCCAGTGCATATAAACCAGTGCTTCCACCATCTCTGGCCACTGCAGGTGAGGAGCACTGTTCTGTTCGCCCTGCACCCTGATAAACCATAAACTCCCAGTAACCAGGTTACATACCGTGTGTTCCCAGTAACCCGGTGCATATAAAGCAGCGCCTCCACCGTTTCAGGTCGCAGCAGGTTGTGCCGGTCCGCCTGGTGGATCTGAATGTCCCTCCCATACTCGGCGTCGTGCCTTGTCCCCATGTACTCCTGAGAATCGTCCTGCGGGTTTCGAAGGAGCAATAAGGGAAGAAACAGGACTCAACAAGTTGTGCCGGTCTGCCTGGTGGATCTGAATGTCCCTCCCATACTCGGCGTCGTGCCTTGTCCCCATGTACTCCTGAGAATCGTCCTGCGGGTTTCGAAGGAGCAATAAGGGAAGAAACAGGACTCAACAAGTTGTGCCGGTCTGCCAGGTGGATCTGAATGTCCCTCCCATACTCGGCGTCGTGCCTTGTCCCCATGTACTCCTGAGAATCGTCCTGGAGACGGCACATAGGCAAAAGAAAAGAAAAGAATCAACAGAAGCCAACAGGAATGAAATAAAGTCACAAGTAAAATGAGGCGGTTTTTTAAGTGGCTAGAAATCGGCTCGTATTTTGAGGAGCCTCAGAAATGTGTCCGCCTGGTGAATCTGAATGTCCCTCCCATACTCGGCGTCGTGCCTTGTCCCCATGTACTCCTGAGAATCCTCCTGATGATTCCGCACGTAGGCAAAAAAAAAAGGAATCAACAGAAGCCAACAAGTAAAATGAGGAGATTTTTGAGGTGGCGAAAAATCGGCCCGTATTTTGAGGCGCCTCAGAAACGTGTCTGCCTGGTGGATCTGAATGACCCTCCCTCCCATACTCTGCGTCACGCCTTGTCCGCATGCACTCCTGATAATCTTCCTTGAGTTTTATCAAGCAAAAAAGGGGGAGAAAACAAGACTCAACTGGAGAGAAATCAATAAAAAAACAAAGCTGACAGAAGAATGGGAGCTGCAGACAGCAGTGATGTGCTGCACATCCCTGGTACCAAGGCAATGCCTGTCATTTCAGTCCTGGTCCTTTCACCTGCACATTGAAGTAGGCTATTTCAGGCGCCAGGCCAGCGGCTGTCACTTCATACATCTGAGATGAAAGTCCTTGTCAAGTTCCTTGCCAGCTGCAGCAGCCCTTATTGTAAGGAAGTGAGATCAGAACACAGGCAGCTAGCAACAGGGGAACCCACTCACGCGCATGTTGAAGTAGGCTATCTCAGGCGCCAGACCAGTGGCTGTCACTTGATACATCTGAATGCACGCCTCTGTCAGCAGCAGAGCCCACTCACCACAGGCACCAGAAAGAGCAGGGCTGGTACCAGGGAAACCCACTCACGCGCATGTTGAAGTAGGCTATCTCAGGCGCCAGCCCAGTGGCTGTGACTTCATACATCTGAATGCACGCCTCCGTCACGTTCCTTGCCAAGTCCAGCAGCTCTTAACATGCGAATGAATGAGCTCAGAAAACAGCCAGCTAGCAACAAGAAATAGCCACTCACGCGCATGTTGAAGTAGGCTATCTCAGGCGCCAGCCCAGTGGCTGTGACTTCGTACATCTGAATGCACGCCTCCGTCACGTTCCTTGCCAAGTCCAGCAGCTCCCTCCCCTGCTGTGTCAGCACGCCCTTTGCTGCCGCCTCTGCCTCTGTCAGCCCCTCAGTCGCTCTCAGGGCTAGAGATCCCGGCAGGAAGCACACCTGTAAGGGAGGAAATAGGAGACAAAAACAAGAAAGTTTCGAGTTGTCTCAGCAGCTCCAGAAGCTCTCTCCCCTGCGGCGTCAACTTTTGAGTCGACTCAAAAGTCAACAGCTACAGAAGCTCTCTCCCCTGCGGCGTCAACACGCCCCTTGCTGCTGCCTCTGCCTCTGTCAACCCTTCCTTGCTCTTAGAGCTAAGGACCTCGGCAGAAAGCAGACCTGTATAGGAGGAAAGGAGGAAAAGTTTTTAGTATATAAGTATCCAGCAGGTTGAGGCCGCGGCGCAAAACAGAGGTTTTTTAGTTGACTCAAAATCGGCAGGAAGCAGACCTGTAGAGGAGGAAAGGAGGAAAAGTTAATAGTACATGAGTATCCAGCAGGTTGAGGCCGAGGCGCAAAACAAAGAATCCAACGGCCATAATTCATCCATCCAAGCAGAGAGAATCCAACGGCATGGAGGGGTCTCACGAGGTGGCCCATCTTGGGGTGCATCTCCCGGTGTTCCCCTTGGATTGACCCCTTCACCGTTGAAATTTAACGGTCATAATTCATCCATCCAAGCAGAGGGAATCCAACGGTTGGGAGGGATCTCACCAGGTGGTCCATCTTGGGGTGCATCTCCCCTGTCAGCCCTGACGGCCGCTCAGCAATGAAGGTGAGGCCCTTGGGGTGGCTGCGCGCCACCAGCCACTTGCGCATGCCCGCCACCGCCTCGTCAAACATCTCCGCCAGATACTCCACATGCGCGCCCCTCTTCCCTCCTGCTGCTCCTGCTCCATCTCCTCCTCCCGCTCCTACTCCTTCTCTTGCTCCTACTCCTTCCCTGCTCTTGTCACCACCGCCAGCACCAGCACCGGCACCAGCACCAGCACCGGCTGCATCGGTGCCGTTTGATCGCCCATCACCGCTTGCTGGAAAGCTTGTGGTTACCACTTGCAGCAGCGCGGGGGGTTGGTCCCGCTGCTGCAGGTACGCCTTGATGAGATACTCGTAGTAGCTGTCTCCCCTTGACCCCAGGCGAATGTTCTCACCTGAGAACCTACCAGAGTCGGGGCTGAGCGGGAGGGAGGGAAGGAGGGAAGGAGGGAAGGAGGGAAGGAGGGGAGAGTAGGAGGGAGAAAGGGAGGGAGGAAGGGCACAAGAAGATTCGGATATGACACACGTGGGTTACCACTTGCAGCAGCGAGTCAGGGTGGTCCCGCTGCTGCAGGTACGCCTTGATGAGATACTCGTAGTAGCTGTCTCCCCTTGACCCCAGGCGAATGTTCTCACCTGAGAACCTACCAGAGTCGGGACTGGGATGGGACGGAGGGCAAAGGGAGGGAGGGAGGGAGGGAGGGAGGGAGGGAGGGAGGGAGGGAGGGAGGGAGGGAGGGCGGGAGGGAGGGAGGGAGGGAGGGAGGGAGGGAGGGAGGGCGGGAGGGAGGGAGGGAGGGAGGGAGGGAGGGAGGGAGGGAGGGAGGGAGGGAGGGAGGGAGGGAGGGAGGAAGGGAAGGAGGGAGGGAGGGAGGGAGGGAGGAAGGGAGGTAGGAAGAGAAGGAGGGAGGGAGGGAGGGAGGGCAGGGAAGAAAGCACACGCCTTGATGAGGTACTCGTAGCAGCTGTCTCCCCTGGACCCCAGGCGGATGTGCTCACCTGAGAACCGCCCAGAGTCCGGACTGGGAGGGAGGAAGGGAGGGAGGGAGGGATACACAAGATACGAATACACACAAGTGCCTACCACATGTAGATCGCTTCTTGAGTCGACTCAAAAATCGACTCATCACACGAGGAAGGGAGGGAGGGATACACAAGATACGATGTTGTTTAAGGGCGGATTCGATCGCAGCAAGCCAACTGAGGTCACTCATGTCTAGATCTAAATGGATCTAACCAGATTTAAATGGATCTAACCAGATTCAACTAGGAGAGAAGAAAGGGAGTAGAAGAAAGACTTAGTAAGTCAATCGGTAAGACAAAACATCGCCCGGCACAAGCCCGCCAGATCGATGCAGTCCCCGCACGTGCTCCACCACCTGCGTCACTGCTGCACCACACCTGCTCGCCCATGCTTCATGCTTCCCCATATCACTCACTCCATGTAGATGGGCACGAGTCCGTCAAGTCAAGTCGTCGCAGCCCCCGCACGTGCTCCATCACCTGCATCGCTGCTGCATGGCTCCCTCCCTTCCTCTCCCCCACCCCACCCCACCCCACCCCACCCCTTACAACTCCTCCTTCTACCCCGTTTTACTCACTCCATGTATATCGGCACCAATCCATCCAGTCGATGCAGCCCCCGCACGTGCTCCATCACCTGCATCGCTGCTGCTCCGTACTTCCTCTCCCCCGTCAGTCTACTCAGCTCCCAGAACTCCAACTGGACCGTTGTGCACTCCGCTGTGCTGCTCAGCCCGCCACCATTGGCCCGCTGTGCGTAGCTGGTGGGAGCATGCGGGGGGAAACAGGTACACAAGGACAGATGCCACTCAGAAAGGGAGAGTGCCTCTCCTCTCCCCCGTGAGTCTACTCAATTCCCAGAACTCCAGCTGGACCGTCGTGCACTCCGCTGTGCTGCTCAGCCCGCCGCCGTTGGCTCGCTGGGCGTATCTGTTGCATGGGTGGGCAGAGCAGAGGGCAGAAGCACACAGGGACAGAAGCAACTCAGCAACCGAGAGTGCCTACTCTACTTCCTCTCCCCCGTGAGTCGGCTCAGCTCCCACAACCCCAGCTGCACCGTCGTGCACTCTGCCGGGTGTTTTTGAGAATTCTCATAAGGGTGTTATTGAGAATTCTCATAAGGGTGTTTTTGAAAGTTCTCAAAAACACCCTCTAGCTGCACCGTCGTGCACTCTGCTGTGCTGCTCAGCCCGCCCCCCATGACCCGCTGGGCATAGCTGGTGGGAGGGTGTGAGGAAGAGGAGAAGCATACAAGGACAGAACCAAATGAGCTAGGGAAAGTGTTGCTTTTTCCCGTGGGTCGTCTAAGCTCCCACAACTCCAGCTGCACCGTCGTGCCCTCTGCTGTGCTGCTCAGCCCGCCCCCCATGGCCCGCTCGACATAGCTGGTCGGAGGAAAGGAGACGTGTGGGAAGGAGAGGCGAGGGAAGCGTGAGGAAGAGTCACAGCACGCACGCACGCACCGCTGCTGGGCCAGCCAGGTACACGCCTGACAGAGGCACCGGCGTGGGTGGGACTGCACCCCTCCTGCACCCCTCTGCACCCCTCTTACAAGGGGTCACAGAAAGGTTCACAGCACGCACGCACCGCTGCTGGGCCAGGTACACGTCTGACAGAGGTACGGGCGTGGGACTGCACCCCTCTTGGCTCGCTTACAAGGGGTCACAGAAAGGTTCACAGCACGCACCGCCGCTGGGCCAGCCAGGTACACGTCTAACAGAGGCTCTTTGCTGCTGACTTCTTGGCGCGAAGGGGGTCGCATAAAGGGTCACAGCACTCACCGTCCAGCCAGGTACACGTCTGAGAGGGGCACGGGAGTGGGGCTTTGCATGAGGGCGAGCATGAGACGATCCGCAGATACTACTCTGATACACCGCGCTTGGCTTGCTTAAGAGGGGTTCCAGGAGGGACTACTCACCGCTGACCCAGGTACACGCCTGAGAGGGGCACGGGCGTGGGGCTAGAGAAGGCCAGCATGAGACGATCTGCAAACCCTAAACCAGATGCTCCCTTTCGCACCCTCTTGCGCTAAGGTCTCACAGCACTCACCGTCCAGCCAGGTATACGTCTGAGAGGGGCACGGGCGTGGGGCTCTGAGTGAGGGCGAGCATGAGACGATCCGCCAAGTCAACCGCCACCTCCATATACTTCTCTGCTGCCATCCCCTCTTGGGTCGCTTACAAGGGGTCACAGAAAGGAATACTCACCGTTGACCCAGGTAGACATCCGAGAGAGGAACGGGCGTGGGGCTCTGAGTGAGGGCGAGCATGAGGCGATCCGCCAAGTCAACCGCCACCTCCAGGTACTTCTCAGCTGCCGGTCCCCCTTGGCTTAAAGGGGGTTGCAGCACTCACCGTTGACCCAGGTAGACATCCGAGAGAGGAACGGGCGTGGGGCTCTGAGTGAGGGCGAGCATGAGACGATCCGCCAAGTCAACCGCCACCTCCAGATACTTCTCAGCTGCTGGTCCCCCTACGTCCTCCTGCACCCCCCCTCCTCCTCCTGTAGTTCCTCCTCCCCCTCCTCTTCCCACGCCTCCTCCCCCTCGCCAGCCCGAGTCCTTTTTCAGGTGGTATGCACTCAGCAACCCACCGAGAACCCGAATCGTCGTCTCGAAAAAGTTCACCTGCCCGGCATGGTTGATTTTCTCAGGCAGAGTAGTAGCAACCCACTGGCCAGCCTCGTCTACTATGTCTTTAATCCCCATGATCATAGCAGTATCTAGACCGTCCACTATAGTAGCCCCGAGCCTGCCCAACCCGTCCTCCCCGCCTCGGCTCAGCGGCATGAGCTCGTCCGAACCAAACGCGTAGGTTCGGTAGCCCTTCCAGGCGTGCCGGAAGGCGGCAACCACCTGCTTCTGCCGTTCCTTCCACACAGCTTCGGCTTCGGCTCGGCAGGACTCCGAACCAGCCTGTGAAATGCCCCCAGCAGCGGCACTCCGATTCCCTAAACCATTTCCTATTCCTTCTCTCCCTTCTCTCCCGAGCCCCCCTCCTGCCCATCCTTCCACCGGCCAACTCCCCTTCCCTCCCACCGCCCCTCCCCTCCTCCCCAGCTCACCCCTCCTTTGCCTCCTCGCCCTCCCCATCCACATTCTCGTGCCTTCCCCTGCCAGCTCCCTCGCTCGCCCGTCCCTCAACATCCCCTTAGCCCACTCCTTCCTAAAATCTTTTCTGATCGTTCCTCGCGAAGACAGCAGGTTCAAGCTTGAATTCCCCATCCTCCCTCCGCTGCCTTCCCCGCTCCAACGTCCCTCCCCTCCTCCTCCCTGCCCTTCCACGCCTGCTTCGTCGCGGACCAGGCCAAGAGGATCGGTGAGCCTCGCCCCGGTGGCTCCCGAGCCTCGGCTGCCGTTCCTGAGCTTCAGGTCCGGGACCTCGTCTCTGGGTTGGTTCGCGAGCTCCTCCCTCTGCCGTTCTAACTCCTCATCCAGTTCCTGCTTCCTTCTCTCCACCTCCGACTCTTCCTCCTTCGCTTTCACTGTCGCTTCCTCTAATTCTCGCCTCCCCCCCGCCTTCTCCACCTCCTCTTCCTCCCCCGTCTCCTTCTCCTTATCCTTTCCCCCGCGTTTCCGAATCTGCTCCTCCTGCTTCCGTCTTTCTTCCTTCCGTCGACGTTTCTCCCTCAACTCTCGTGCCATGCTGTCAGCCCACGTCTCGTCGTCTGCTCCTCCGCTCTCGCCACTCACCCTCTCTCTGCCTTGACCACTCGCTCGCTCCACGCCTCCACTGTGTCTCTTCTCTCTCTCCACCCTCTCCCCTCTCGTCTCCCCCTCCTGTTGTCCCCCCTCCACTGCTTTCACGCTGGTTGAATCAGCGGAGGAAGCAGAGGAAGACGAGGAAGAGGAAAGGGAGGAGGAGGAGGAGCGGGAGCGGCGGGAGGAGACGGAGACGGAGAGGAGCCAGAGGAGGAAGAGGAAGGCGAGGAGGGCGACGAATTGGCGCAAGGGGGATTGGCGGAAGTAGATCGCCACGCGCTGATGGGGGACGGAAGCCGAGCAGGGGGGAAAGGGAAGGGGGATGGGGGGGATTCAAAGAAAAAGGAGGCTGGAGAGAGTCAGTGAACGCGAGGAAGAAGTCTGAAGAGGACGGAATGAGTGCATTGCGAGATTTAATTCGAGGGCATATAACGAGTCCGAATACGGGTAACTTGGCTCACGAGCAGTTGAGGGAAAGCATCAGTGGGAAGAGCAGTACTGTGGGATCACCGAGAGGGGAGGGGGGAGTAACAAAGAGCTACGAGCGCGGAGGAGAATAGAAGAATGACGATTAACGGAAAAGGCGATTTAGCTTGAATCACGGTCCTCCGCTCTTCAACGCTACCTCATCGAGTCCTACAATAGCCAGTCCGACTTGGATGATACCTAACACGAGTTTCACAATAGCGAGTATAACCTAGACGACTCCCACCTTAACGAGTCCTCCCCGTCGCCGGGATTTCGCATTGTCGTAGGAATCGATGGAATCACCCAAAGACGTCGCCATCGGAACGATTAGGAAAGGGCGAACCTATCCTCGAAATTCTGCGTCCAATTAAGGAGCATGGAATCAATACACCAGGCAGCGTGGAATCTACACGTGATTCTACACGAATGACAAAGCAGGACGCCTGAGTGACTTCATGAGTGAGACACCTCAGACACAACCTTCAGCCTTTTTCTGAGACGCCTCAAACACAACGTTCGGGAAGGACGACATTAACCTAATGAAAGGATGCTAATGAGGCTGATATGGCATGAGAGGCTGAAAAAGACCCAGAGGGCGACTCGGGCCTGTGAGGTGTAACTGATATGTAGATTTGAAAGAATTGTGGCCACTAAAAGCTGGAGATAGCAGACACGGAAGGACAGCAATGAGAGGCTGTTGGATTGGATTGGAACACATGGTTTGGAGGGTGGACAAGGATAACCAGATTCAGAAGCAGAAGCAGCACACCGCAAGCGGTTTTTGCAGATTTTGTACGATTTAGAGTTTTTTAACAAGGTTTTGTGCGATAACTCTCGATGACCCGATCTGGTGGTACTCATGGTGGAGTTCCCGAAGGTACTGTATTGCTTTCTGACTGTAGTCACAGGAGCTGACAGCTCAACGCGCCTGGCCGGATTCCCGCCCTCAACGTCTAACTTATCCGCGTTAGCACATTACCGCAATACAAATCACAGCGGTTACATGGAAGTTACAGAGCTGTTTTGCTTGCATTCTACACATGCAAACATCTACCTTCACCAACATAAGCAAATAATGGACCATAAAGAGGTCTTCATCACTGCCTCCACTTAATCTTAACAGCTTCATTTGATCTGCCATCGCATATGTGCCCATCTTGGCACGATGCGAGCCCGAGACTCTCCCTTAGATACCCTATGTGATGTGAGAAAGTTGAACGATCAGTGATCATTGTCACCACGGCGTGTGCTGCCACTAGCTTATCCACCATTGCTCGCTGACCTGGTTGAAGATTCAGCTCCTTAGGCAATGTGACAACCACAATTGACCATGCTTTTCCCCTCGCCCTTGCACGTGATGCCTGCGACTGTAACAGCTGCTTGAACACCTCCACCTCCTCATCAGGAGCGTCAGAGGAAACAAAAAGGATAGTCAGGTTTAGCTGCATCATTTTAGATGCAGTACACTCCGCCACCGCCTGTAACGGCCAGTACCGCAGATCCGACATCCGGTGGCTATGCTCAAGAAAATCCGTCCGCCGAAGGTGAATAGCAGCATAATCCCTCCCAACGTACTCTTCTATGAACCCTGCAGCTTGGTCAAGCACTTGCTGGGGAGGCTGGAAGAGCAGCTCACACTTGCTGGAAGGCTGGAAGAATCGGCTTGGCCAAAAAAATTCTGAACCAGGATAATCAACCTTGAAGAAGGAGAAGAAGAGGTCACCCAGAGCAAGCACAGGAACGTCAGCAGTTGCAGCTGCGATTTTAGGAGCCAGGTCAAAGAGATTGCCCTCCTCCTCCGGGACGGTCTCTTTCTGTAAGAGTTTAATTTCTGCAGTCTCGCCGCAGGTACCATCTATGAAGGTACAGCTGTACTGCACCTGACCGCAGAAGAATTTATCAACTACTAAGTCGCTCCCATTACCGCCTTTTAGAGTGTTGAACTCTAATCCTGTTACCACCTTGCGGAGAGGCAGCGAACCTGCTTCCAGACCTGGTTGATCAGGTATAGACTCGTCTCCAAAGCACCGGGACAAGTGGCCAATGTCTAGGGTTTCAGAATACACCACCGGCCGGCCTTGAGAGCGAGGGACGCAGAGAGGAACCTCGGGAACCAGCAGCGTGCGATTGAGGAGAATCGCCGCCAGAATGGTCTTCTGAAAGCATAGGAGGCGATTGGTGGTTGCACCGTTGGTGCATGAAAGCATAAGGTACCGGTTGGGTTGTGGGATCCATTCCGGTGCTGCTGTAACAGGTTCGGTTGTGGATGATGAAGAAGGCGGGAGCTGAACGCCAATGGGAGCGGCGCACGTGTCACTTGAGAGTTGCTCACTTGGGGATGGATTTAGTGGCCTCGGACTGACAGACTGCTGCAACCGGATCACTGTGCTTGTATCGAGACCAGACGCATCCGCTTGAGAAATATCCGCTGACTGAGAATACTCGGAACGGACGGGAAGAGGCTGAGGGGATAAAACGGTGGAACAAGGGGAGGATGAGAGGTACCCGAGACTGAACATAACGGCGGCGACGAGGAGGAGGTGGCTGTAGTAGTAGGGAAGCGGGTGAAGCTGGGCGAGCAGGTTCGACCGTTGCTGCTGCTGCTGCTGCTTCTCCAGATGATGCGGTACGTCATTATGGTGTAATGGAAGGGAGGGAGACAACAACGTCATAGTGATGAATCACAAGCTTACCAGGAGCTTCAAAGCTAAAAGCTACAAGAAGCGGGTTCGCGTTCTTTGTGATTTCTGAAATCATAAGCCGTGATCCTCTCACCAGTCGCAAAATCGGATTGCTGAGGTTATCGCGGAAGTTCTCTAGGTTGTCTAGAGCTATTGTATCCCAGAGGTGGTCTGGAGCTGTTTTCCCTGAGATTTGTCAAGCTATCGGATGCACCCGCCGCCGGATATTCGTTACAATAGCGTTCAACGCCGGCCAGGACGGTAAAGAATCAGTAGTTTGGGCTGTCACACAGGTTGCTCCTGCGTGGAGGCTGTCACACAGTAAACTGCTGGGGGGGCCTGCATCCAAGAATCCTCGGAGACGATGAAATTCCGTCAGCGAATTGACGGACGTCGCCGAATTAGCGATACCTAGTAGTGCCAAACAGAAACTTGACATCTGTACGCCTCTTATCAGGTTTGTATCTGAGGGTCCTCGCTGAGCAGAAAACGACGCGAGTAAGCCGTTTGAATTTTATCAAAGGACTTCGTTCCCTCCCAGGGTACAATCCCTTGACCTCCATCGTCAGCAAACGTCGAGCACCACTTCGAACAAACTACCGGCCAAGAATTTGCGGGACGAACACCTTTGAGCTTGAGACAAATGCAGGTGTTTCAAACTCAGTCCGTCCGAGCCTGTTGACTTGATTTGAGGCAACGGAATGCCCTCAAACCTTGATTCCCTTAGTGGAGGGAACTACTATTGTGGTTTTCCCTCAACCCAGCAGATCCAGGTCTGTTCACCTTTTCCTCCCCCGCCGCGCCACCAAACGACGAGCACCACTTCGCCGGCTCCCTCCCTGCTGGGAGGGACCTGCGCTGGAAAACGGACAGCCTAGGGTCCAGTCCCCTCCCCTCCCCTCCCCGCAGCAAGCCCTGCCAGGCCAGCCAAGTGGCTTGAATTGACCCACTATCATGTAGACTCGACTGAGCAAAACGAAAAAATATAACCATTAGTGCATTGAGATATACCAGCGTACATAATATAAAAATGCAACATACGGTAGCAGCGTATACAAGGTTAAAAAATGTCATATACGCTATGGAAAACATTAGAATGTGGGCTAGTGGTACGTTAACATATGCTTACAAATCACAACAACGAATGACCAACTGATTGATAATATAAAACGTCTTCACTGCCTCCATTTAATATCAACAGCTTCTTTAAATCGGCCATGGCATATGTGCCCATCATGACACGATGAGAGCCCCAAACTCTCCCTTAAATACCCTATGTGGTGAGAGAACGTTGACCGATGGGTAACTACTGTAACCGAGGCATGCGCTGCCACTAGCTTATCCACCATAGCTCGCTGACCTGGTTGTAGATTCAGCTCCTTGGGCAATCTGACAACAACAATTGACCATGCTTTTCCCCTCGCCCTTGCAAGTGATGCCTGTGACTGTAACTGCTCCTTAAAAACCTCCACCTCCTCATCAGAAGCATCGGATGAAAGAAAAAGGTTGGTCAGGTTTAACTGCGCCATTTTCGACGCAGTACACTCCGCCACCACCTGTAACGGCCAGTACTGTACGTTCATCATGTGGCTATGGTCGAGAAAATCCGTTCGCCGAAGGTGTAGAGAAGCGTAGTTCCCCCCAAAGTACTCCTCTATGAACACTGCAGCTTGGTCAAGCACTTGCTGTGGAGGCTGGAAAAGCAGCTTACACTGAGTATTATAAAATCGGCTTGGCCAGAAGTATTCGGGACCAGGATCTCCAATCTTGGAGAATGAGAAGAACAGGTCACCCAGAGCGAGGACAGGAACGTCAGCAGTTGCAGCTGCAATCTTAGGAGCCAGGGCATAGAGATTACCACCCTCCTCCCCGAGAATTTCTTTCTTTAAGAGTTTTATCTCAGGAGGAATGTCTCCGCAGCTGCCATCTATAAAGGTACAGCTGAACTGCACTTGACCACAGAGGAATTTATTGACTACTAATTCGCTTCCACCACCTCCTTTTAGGTTCAAGAACTCCGATCCTGTTACCACCTTACGGAGAGGCTGGCCATGCTTAAGCGAACCTGCTTTCGAGCCTGCGTCTGCTCCGTTTTCCGGACCTGGTTGCTCAGGTTTGGCCAAGCCTCCGAAGCACTGAGACAAGTGGCCAATGTCTAGGGTTTCAGAATACACCACCGGCCGGCCAAGAGAGCGAGGGATGCAGAGAGGAACCTCCGGAATGAGCAGCGTGCGGTTCAGGAGAATTGCTGCAAGAATGGTCTTCTGAAGGCATAAGAGGCGATTCGTACTTCCGCCGTTGGTGCATGAAACCATAAGGTACCGGTTGGGTAATGGGACCCATTCTGGTGCTGCTGTAAGAGGTTCGGGTGTGGATGATGGAGAAGGGGGGAGCCTGACGCCAATGGGAGCGGCGCACGTGTCATCTGAGCGTTGTTGGTCATCCCGAACCTGCCTGTCTCGTAGGTTCTGGTCCGGGGTCTGGTTCGGAAGTGATGGGGTGGGGTCTGGTCCGGATCCAGGCTTGGACGGAATGTCAGCTGGGGATGAATTTAGTAACCTCGGACTGACAGTTTGCTGCAGGTGGAGCATTGTGCTTGTATCGCGGCTAGGAGCATCCATTTGACGAGAATCCGAAGGCTGAAGTGGACCAACCGGACCACTAACGGTCCGATCCGGAACGGGATCAGTGCCAAATATTCCCAGCTTTCCCGAATGCGATGATTCAGAAGAATGAGGCGTCTCGACGGTGATAGGAAGCTCTGAATCTGATGTCTCAGACAGCCTTGAGGGGCCTTGCAGTGATTGAGCAGAGTAGGCTGAGAGGTACGCGACGCTGCAGGTGACGGCGGCGACGAGGAGGAGGTGGTAGTGCAGCTGGTGAAGCTGAGTAAGAAGATAGGACCGTTGCTGCTGCTGCGGGCGATGCGGTACGCCGTGGCGTAACGGGAGGAACGCGGACGACGACCTCATAGCGATGGATCACCACTTAATACCACTAACTACCATACCACAACTACACAAGAACGCAAACGTTAACAATTGACGCCCATTGACGCAGCGCAAAGCAGATTTCTGATTCTTCAGTGCAGACTATGACCCCCTCTGACCGATCGCGAAGATCAACCACTGGAGTTATCCGAGCAGTTTCGAGGTGTCGTGGGCTCGATATCGTGAAGGCTGCTAGAGAGAGCTATCCGATCCCAGCGGCTATCATCAGTCCATCTTGATATTGCCGATCGATGTTCAGACAGGTTGGTAACGGTTGACAGGGGTTATCGAAGTGGACATCACAGCATCGCACTCCACCGTTTCTTATACCCAAACAATGAGTGCACTTGCCTCTCTGGGAAGCAGGGTGCACGTGCAAGTCCAGCTGCCCCCGGTTGCCAGATCCGCCTCAGGTCTTGTAGATCAGCTATCCTCGATAAACGCAGGCTGCCGATACTGGCGATTCTGAACTCAGATGTGGATGAACCACCAACTCACTGTAACAAGAACAATTTAATCTTCTTACATGAACCAATGCAACCCTAAATTGTCCACACAATATTCTTTGAAAGGTTCACTGGTTTCTTTGCAAATGAACAAGAGCCCATCCATCCTCCTCCTCAACAGAGATTACTTTTGCATAAGGAGCGTATGCTGTAATAACTTGCTCCACCTGCCGTACAAAGACAGCAAAAGGTGAGGAAAGAAATATGAAGTTAATCTAAAAATAAAAAAAGTACCGTAAATGCTAACTCACAAGACCAATGCAACAGACCAGAACGTACCTGATTGGTCAAAATTCCTGACAGCCCAAGTCTCCCACCAGGCTTGGTTCTGGAAGAAATCCGCTCAGCCAATAGGAGAAGAGGGTTCACAAGAATGTTGGCGGCCACAACGTCAAACAGCACGCGTGGCTCCGACGAATCAGAGACTGCCAGCTTAGCAGGAAGAGTCGGCAACACCAAGCCAGCACCAACACCGACCCTAGATTCCGTAGCAGCAGTCCCTCCGGCTTCATTAACATCAAACTCATCAAGCGGATCTGGGCCGTCCGGGTGTGTGAGAAGGACGGTGAATTGCGAAGGAGGGATGCTATTGAGGGATGCGTTGTGTGCTGCTGCTGCCACTGACAGTTCATCAATATCCACCCCCACCGCTGCTGCTGCTCCCATCTTGATCCCCGCGATCGCAAGCACACCGGAGCCCGTGCCGTAGTCCAATAGCGTGCTGCCAGGTGTCACGACCGAGCGCAGCCAGCGCAGGCAGAGGCGGGTGGTGGGGTGGTCACCGGTGCCAAATGCGAGACCAGGCTCGAGAGTGATTGCTAGAGAGGGCTGGTCTTGTGAGACCTGGGAAGGGAAGCAAAAGAGGATGAGGGTTTGTAGTGCAAGCAGAGGCGGGTGGTAGGGTGATCGCCGGTGCCGAATGCGAGACCGGGCTCGAGAGTGATTGCTAGAGAGGGCTGGTCTTGTGACAGCTGAAAACGGTGGGGGGGGGGGGGGCAGAAGAAAAGGGAACTCTGCAGAGCAGGCGGAAGCGGCTGGTGGGGTGGCCGCTGCTTGTGCCGAATGCAAGACCAGGCTCTAGCTTGATGGTCAGAGAAGGAAAAGGGCAGTCCCAGCCAGTGGTGAGGTAACTACATACAGCAGCATATCTCCAGAAGTTTATTTTCTATACCACCCTATCCCAAGGCACAAAAGCCTAAACTCTCTCACATCAGTGTATTCCTAGGCTCAAGGCCGTACCTCATCCCAAGGCCATACCTCTTCTGGTAATCTGGCCCAGGAGGGGACAATCCAAAGACCTTGGTCCACGCGAATGGGATGGAATGAGTCCTGCAGGCAGGCAGGGCAGGACAGAGGGGCGTCTGAGCAGGTGTCAACAGTCAACGGGCAAGAATTGCAGGTGGGTTTTGAGGCCCTGGAGTTCTCAGACCCCTCCTGATACTTGAAATTCACCTGTACTTGTTGCACCCAGTCTCGCTCCACCACCTCCTCTATTCCCAGCAACAGAACTCCCACACCCTCCTCCCTCTCCTCCCCATCCTCCCCTCCTCCACCTTCCTCTCCCTCTTCCTCCTCCCCCCACCCCCCCATGGCCCACTGCACTGAGTCTGCCGCCCGGTGAACAGTGCTGCGGATGTTCTCCTCGCTCTGATTGGCTGGGAAGAACGCCCGTAGCCGAGTCTGGAGCAGGGGAATCGGGAGAAGAAGACGTATCTGGTTATGAAAAGCATTTGAATAAAAAAATCACACCCAAATTTGAGTTGTCGAAGAGGAATAGGAGGATAATGAGAGGAAGCGGGTTGGGGAGAGGGAGGGAGGGCGACATTGCAGACTCACGACAGGAAAACGAATGCCACGGAAAGACTGGGGAGAGAGGTGGGAGGGACAGCTGAAACCGGAGGGAGTGAGAGAAAAAACGGTGCACAGTGATTACTCGCAGTAAACGACTCTTTTTTTTTCTTTTTTTTTTTAGCCTATAATAGGTTAAATGGAACCTTTGAGACGTGTAATGACGGCGCACCTGATTCCAGAGGTTGCGGGGGCCACTGGGATCCCAGGGAATGGGCCCGGATGAGTATATCTGTGATTTTGCAGAGAAAGAATGGTGAAATCAGAGGGGGGAAGGAGCCGAATGTGGGGAGGGAATACGCATGTTCATGTGTTGATACGCATGTTCATGTGTTGATACGTATGTTCATGTGTTGATACGTATGTTCATGTGTTGATACGTATGTTCATGTGTTGATACGTATGTTCATGTGTTGATACGTATGTTCATGAGGGGATACGTATGTTCGTGTGTTGATACGTATGTTCATGTGTTGATACGTATGTTCGTGTGTTGATACGTATGTTCATGTGTTGATACGTATGTTCATGTGTTGATACGTATGTTCATGTGTTGATACGTATGTTCATGTGTTGATACGTATGTACATGATGGGATACGCATGTTCATGATGGGATACGCATGTTCATGATGGGATACGTATGTACATGATGGGATACGTATGTACATGATGGGATACGTATGTACATGATGGGATACGTATGTACATGATGGGATACGTATGTACATGATGGGATACGTATGTACATGATGGGATACGTATGTACATGATGGGATACGTATGTACATGATGGGATACGTATGTACATGATGGGATACGTATGTACATGATGGGATACGTATGTACATGATGGGATACGTATGCACATGATGGGATACGTATGTTCATGATGGGATACGTATGTTCATGTGTTAATGTGCATGAGTTCTTTCATGTGAGGAATGAGTTTATGGGAGTGTGAGAGCATGCATGTATGCATGTGCATGCGAGTAGTGCAAAGGTGGTAGAGATGAGCGATGAGTGAGGAGGAGTGCAAAGTTGGTAAGAGGGAGAGTGAGGAGTGCGAAGGTGGTAAGAGGGAGAGTGAGGAGTGCGAAGGTGGTAAGAGGGAGAGTGAGGAGTGCGAAGGTGGTAAGAGGGAGAGTGAGGAGTGCAAAGGTGGTAAGAGGGAGAGTGAGGAGTGCGAAGGTGGTAAGAGGGAGAGTGAGGAGTGCGAAGGTGGTAAGAGGGAGAGTGAGGAGTGCGAAGGTGGACCCCCTACCTCTTTCCCACCCCCCTACCTCATGCTCACCCCCTACCTCATGCTCACCCCCTACCTCATGCTCACCCCCTACCTCATGCTCACCCCCTACCTCATGCTCACCCCCTACCTCATGCTCACCCCCTACCTCATGCTCACCCCCTACCTCATGCTCACCCCCTACCTCATGCTCACCCCCCATACCTCCTGCTCGGCTTCTGTGCCCGTATTGGCATCCTCTATGGAGCATGTAGTGGCTCCTAGAGATAGCAGAGCGTCCATTAACGCGTCCTGGGTGTACATGGGAGGATTTGGTGTACATGCGGAGGATTTGGGTGAGGGAGAAACAGCAGGGGAGGTCGGGGTCAGGGTTCGGGGTTCAGGATTCAAGGGTTTTACTCTGAAGAACACGGCGAATCACTTACAGCCACGTGTCCAGGGCATGTCATGATGGCAGCGCGCGTGACGCAGACCGACAAAGGATCAGATGGTGACGTGTCATCTTGCGATGCAATTCCCCCTCTCGCTTCATGTCCTTCTCTGCTGAACGCTCTGCAATTTCCGGGTAGATTCCCAGCCGCAGTTGTTGGGAAGCTTCGCCGGCTGATGCTGCTGATGCTGCTGGTGCTGCTGGTGCTGCTGATGCTGCTGGTGCTGCTGATGCTGCTGGTGCTGCTGATGCTGCTGTTGCGGGTAACCGATCGTTGACAAAGGTATCTAAACACGGAAGCGGGTGCTTTAGAGGAACTAGACTGTTTGGATGAGGCACGAGTAAGATGGCCAGGATTGATCATGGCCGTTGAAGGAAATGACGCCATACGAGTACATAATGCGCCGGCCATTCTGACCAAGTATGGCGAAATGCCTCCCACGATTCGACGCCGACCAGCAATTTTTGCCTGATAACCAGTATATGAAGGGAAGGCTACGAAGGATAATGCGACGAAATTTTGTCGTAAGAGATAATAATTCGGGGTATGGTTGTGAGTCTGTGAGACGAAAGACGCACCGACGCTTCAGATTGAGCAAAATGTCGCGCAGAAGCGGATTTTCATCGGCCTGACCACTAGCCTCTGAAACTGCGTGCGACCCGCGACAATGGTACAGCAGTGCCTCTTGTTATTCCAGCAGCGGCTGGCATTCAGTCTTCTGTACCCGTTACAGCGTTCACCACTTCTGAGTCCCCTTCAAATTGGCAGTTCTGATATAAGATGCATTCAAGTAAGCATACAACACTTTCCACGCACTGAATCAGGCAAGAATCCAACTTCACCGGTACCGGTACAACTGTTGTTCCATAATAAAGCACGAGAAAACCACAATATATTTTCAACTTATGGAACCAATGGCTGGGCCAATCCCCTCCCTGGGCATGTGGCTCGTCCCACCCACCACCTCCCCACACTCAGAACAGCTTGCCTCTTCCATCGCCTTGCCACACTCCCCAATCACGTACACATGCCCATTGCGGCACCAGTACCAGTGACCCACTTCCAAGCCCACATCCTCAAACCCTGTTAAAGAACCCAGTGGCCGGGGTGTTACCTTCTCGAAGCCTGTGACTCGTCCCACCCACCACCTCCCCACACTCAGGACAGCTTGCCTCTTCCATCGCCTTGCCACACCCCCCAATCACATACACATGCCCATTGCAGCACCGGTACCAGCGACCCCCTCCCAGGCCTATCGCCTTGAAGATATCAGCTTTCTCGCGGTCGGTCACAGCGAAATACCGAGGTTCGTCGCGAACAGATTGCTCCAGCTCACGCAAGTCTTTCTCGAGCATTTTCCGAGCGCTACCCCCGAGGCTGTCGTTCTCTCTGACCGAGGCTAGGTGGTGCGAGGCCACCATGAGGCACTGCATCTTGGCCCTCTCGAGATACTCCAGCTGCTGCTTCCTTGACTCATCCTGCCAGAAAAAGTGCACATGCAAACACCCATGAGCCATCAAAGTCCGCAAAACAGGAGGAGGTTGGGTGGAAGAGATCCAATCCAGACGAGGATAAATGCAGTGTACTGTTCTCACCAGGCCAGCAGGGGAAGCTGAAAGAAGGTGTTCCGCCATCATGAAACCACAAACGCACGGAACACATCAGCCATCTCCAGCCTCCCCCTCACATGTTCTACGTCGACTCATATCACAACACGGCAGGCCGGGACAAGGGCGAGCACTGTTCTCACCAGGCCAGCAGGGGAGGTTGCGAGCAGGCGTTCCGCCATCATTCCCTCCACGAACGCACGGAACAAATCAGCCAGCTCCAGCCTCCCCTTCGCCTCCAGCCGGTGCGCCCTGCGCTTCCCAGCCCACTCCACCGCCTCCCCCACATGCTTCTCTGCGTTCCGCAGCCCCATCAGCACAACAGCCCTGCAATTCTCCACCCACCCGGCCAAGAACGCTGCTCTATCAGTGCTGTTCTTATCAGTCTGACCAGCACTTTGACCAGCCTTCGGACGAGCATTCGGACGCGCATTTTGAGGAACCAGATTCTGGAGTTCTTTCAGCAGGCAGCGCAGCGCGAGGAAATTGGAAGCCATGAGCAGCTGAAAGGCTTTCCCCAGCAGCATGAGAGCTTCGCAGAGGGGCCGGGGGTCCGGCGGAGGCACATACAGCAAATGGCACTCCTCCTCCCACGCAGGCGAATCAGCATCAGCTCTGGACGACGAGCCCCCCAACTGGAGGTGCTTTCTCTGCAGCGCAGCCACAGAAGCCTGGTACGTCTGCTGGGTAGGCGGTTCCATAGCAGTGTCTCGCACGTTGCTTGCCTGCATTATTAGAAACGTCGCAGCCCGAGCTAACTGTTGCACATGCCAGGATTGGGCAGCCTCAGGGCAGGCAGATATGGCCTGGCTTAGTTTGGACAGCTTCTGCTGGAGCTGCTGCTGGTCGGCCAGGCAGCTGAGGGCGAACTTGCGCTCTGATTCGTCCAGCAGCGCCTTGTTCACCATCCTGCCATACCGGCGCAGCCCTGTGATTGGCTGGCGGCACTCCGGGCAGCCCTTGAGGGCCGACAGACCGCCATCGTCAAACGGCCGCACTGCCACCCACTTGGGTGCAGTTGCAGCTGCTTCCAGCCCACCTCCAGCAGCCCCTCCAGCAGCACTGCTGCCACCACCAGCAGACCCGGCTTCTGCCTCTTGGTAAACCTGGTTGAGCCCCAGGTGACCATCCAGAGTCTCCACAGTGTAAGCATGACCACACGGCAGCACCAGCACGGGACTCTCGTCCGGATCAATCTCCCCTAGCGTCTCCAGAGTGACCAGATCCACTCTCATCTCTCTCTTCTCCTTTGCCCCGCATCCAGCAACTGCGCAGTAGGCCTTCGGAGGGCACTTTTCTGAGCAGAGTGACGGGCACTGGTGGCCGCATTCGAGCCTTTTCTCGCACCGCTGCTCGCACGGGAGGCGGTCGCAGGGGGCGCCGCAGGGGAGCGAGCACCGGCCCTGGTGCTTGCAGTGCCACCCGCAAGGCTCGGCGCAGGGCGCGCAGGTTCGGTGGCAGGGTTGGGGGCAGGAGCTGTGCTGGCATGCCACGAGGCACTTTCTGGTGCAGGGCTTGCAGGGCGTGCCGCTGTGGCAGGGGTCCGGGCAGAGGTGGGCGCAGGGGTGCGGGCGCTTGCATGGCTGCGTGCACTTCTTGTGGTTTCTCTCTAGCTGCTGCTGCTGCCGCTGCTGCGGCTGCTGCTGTTGTGAGCCCTGCCCCTGGTCGGTGGTGACAGCTGGAGCAACAATGCACTGGCCGCAGGGAGAGATGCAGGTGTTCCCGCAGGAGTCTGAGAGCACAACGCCGCAGCGAGCCGTGCAGAGCTCAGGTTTGGTTACTCTGGTGGCGGCCTCGCCACACTTGACTGTCTGCTTGTGCCCGCACAGGGGCATAGTGACCTCCGCCATTACTCTGCCACATTGGGAGGTTTGAGAGGGGAAAGGGAGAAGGGCGGACATGAACCTCGCAGCCAGTGGAGCAGAGCTTGGGTTGGAATTGCTTGTTGTGGCGGTCGCCTCGCCAAACTTGACTGTCTGCTTGTGCCCGCACAGGGGCATCGTGACCTCCATCAGTATCCTGCCATGATGGGGCTTGAGAGCGGAACGGAACAGAAGAGAACATGAGAAGTGACCGGTGCAGAGATTGGGGTTGCTTGCTTGGGTGTCCGCCTCGCCACACTTGACTGTCTGCTTGAGCCCGCACAATGTCCGCACAATGCCCGCACAATGTCCGCAGAATGCCTGCACAATGACGTTGTGACTTCCACCGTTATCCTGCCACAGTGGGAGGTAGCAAGAAGAACAGACATGCGAATCTGAAAACCGAACAAGTAAGAGGAGGGGAGAATAAGAGGAGGGGAGAAACAGCGAAGAAATAATCGTTTGGGAGACAGGCGGCCCCTCGAGGGGCAAGATAGCATTGGGATTCTGAGCCTTGAAGCACGAGACTAGACATTGAAAGGCCGATATTTGTGGTGCCTAGAAAAATCAACTCAATGCATTGGGATTCTGAGCCTTGAAGCACGAGACATTGAAAGCCCAATGGCCGCAGGGGAGCGGTTTTTGAGAACTCCCAGGAACCGCTTAAATGAGCAAAGTGCTTCTGAGGCACTCACGAGCAGAAGATAGAAGCGGGATTCTGCACCATGAAGCAGGGCACATGGATGGCCTGATGGCCGCAGGGGAGAGTGAGTGCCCGGATGGTGACAACGCACGGCCCACAGGCCTCGCCACACTGCTTGGGGCACGTGTGCTGATGCGGACACTCCTCCAAAGGCCAAGGGATAGAGGAACTTACGAGCAGAAAATGGAAGATAGATTCTGGACCTTGTAGCACGGCACATGGAACGCCTGATGGCCACAGGGGAGTGTGAGTTCCCTGGTGGTGACGAGGCAGGGCCCACAGGCCTCGCCACACTGCTTGGGGCACGTGTGCTGATGCGGACACTCCTCCAGTGGCCGGATGCGGTTGCACTCCTTGGGGCAGAACGCATTGGCGTGTGCCCTGTCATCGCTATGGCATCTGTCAGGTGCAGGTAGGGAGAAAAAAGAGTGCTCTTATTTTGTGTGTGTTGGTGCGAACTCTCCTTTAAAGGCCGGATGCGGTTGCACTCAATGGGGGAGGAAGCAATGGCATGCGCCCTGTCGTCTCCATGGCACCTGATGGGTGCAGGAAGGAGGACAAGGATCACGAGACCCCCTCTAGAGGAAGACTTTTGAGGCGCCTTAAAAGTGGGCGCAGGAAGGAGGACAAGGATCACGAGACCCCCTCATGAAACCCTCTCATGAAACCCTCTCATGAAACCCTCTCATGAAACCCTCTCATGAAACCCTCTCATGAAACCCTCTCATGAAACCCTCTCATGAAACCCTCTCATGAAACCCTCTCATGAAACCCTCTCATGAAACCCTCTCATGAAACCCTCTCATGAAACCCTCTCATGAAACCCTCTCATGAAACCCTCTCATGAAACCCTCTCATGAAACCCTCTCATGAAACCCTCTCATGAAACCCTCTCATGAAACCCTCTCATGAAACCCTCTCATGAAACCCTCTCATGAAACCCTCTCATGAAACCCTCTCATGAAACCCTCTCATGAAACCCTCTCATGAAACCCTCTCATGAAACCCTCTCATGAAACCCTCTCATGAAACCCTCTCATGAAACCCTCTCATGAAACCCTCTCATGAAACCCTCTCATGAAACCCTCTCATGAAACCCTCTCATGAAACCCTCTCATGAAACCCTCTCATGAAACCCTCTCATGAAACCCTCTCATGAAACCCTCTCATGAAACCCTCTCATGAAACCCTCTCATGAAACCCTCTCATGAAACCCTCTCATGAAACCCTCTCATGAAACCCTCTCATGAAACCCTCTCATGAAACCCTCTCATGAAACCCTCTCATGAAACCCTCTCATGAAACCCTCTCATGAAACCCTCTCATGAAACCCTCTCATGAAACCCTCTCATGAAACCCTCTCATGAAACCCTCTCATGAAACCCTCTCATGAAACCCTCTCATGAAACCCTCTCATGAAACCCTCTCATGAAACCCTCTCATGAAACCCTCTCATGAAACCCTCTCATGAAACCCTCTCATGAAACCCTCTCATGAAACCCTCTCATGAAACCCTCTCATGAAACCCTCTCATGAAACCCTCTCATGAAACCCTCTCATGAAACCCTCTCATGAAACCCTCTCATGAAACCCTCTCATGAAACCCTCTCATGAAACCCTCTCATGAAACCCTCTCATGAAACCCTCTCATGAAACCCTCTCATGAAACCCTCTCATGAAACCCTCTCATGAAACCCTCTCATGAAACCCTCTCATGAAACCCTCTCATGAAACCCTCTCATGAAACCCTCTCATGAAACCCTCTCATGAGACCCTCTCATGAAACCCTCTCATGAAACCCTCTCATGAGACCCTCTCATGAAACCCTCTCATGAGACCCTCTCATGAAACCCTCTCATGAAACCCTCTCATGAAACCCTCTCATGAAACCCTCTCATGAAACCCTCTCATGAAACCCTCTCATGAAACCCTCTCATGAAACCCTCTCATGAAACCCTCTCATGAAACCCTCTCATGAAACCCTCTCATGAAACCCTCTCATGAAACCCTCTCATGAAACCCTCTCATGAAACCCTCTCATGAAACCCTCTCATGAAACCCTCTCATGAAACCCTCTCATGAAACCCTCTCATGAAACCCTCTCATGAAACCCTCTCATGAAACCCTCTCATGAAACCCTCTCATGAAACCCTCTCATGAAACCCTCTCATGAAACCCTCTCATGAAACCCTCTCATGAAACCCTCTCATGAAACCCTCTCATGAGACCCTCTCATGAAACCCTCTCATGAAACCCTCTCATGAAACCCTCTCATGAAACCCTCTCATGAAACCCTCTCATGAAACCCTCTCATGAAACCCTCTCATGAAACCCTCTCATGAAACCCTCTCATGAAACCCTCTCATGAAACCCTCTCATGAAACCCTCTCATGAAACCCTCTCATGAAACCCTCTCATGAAACCCTCTCATGAAACCCTCTCATGAAACCCTCTCATGAAACCCTCTCATGAAACCCTCTCATGAAACCCTCTCATGAAACCCTCTCATGAAACCCTCTCATGAAACCCTCTCATGAAACCCTCTCATGAAACCCTCTCATGAAACCCTCTCATGAAACCCTCTCATGAAACCCTCTCATGAAACCCTCTCATGAAACCCTCTCATGAAACCCTCTCATGAAACCCTCTCATGAAACCCTCTCATGAAACCCTCTCATGAAACCCTCTCATGAAACCCTCTCATGAAACCCTCTCATGAAACCCTCTCATGAAACCCTCTCATGAAACCCTCTCATGAAACCCTCTCATGAAACCCTCTCATGAAACCCTCTCATGAAACCCTCTCATGAAACCCTCTCATGAAACCCTCTCATGAAACCCTCTCATGAAACCCTCTCATGAAACCCTCTCATGAAACCCTCTCATGAAACCCTCTCATGAAACCCTCTCATGAAACCCTCTCATGAAACCCTCTCATGAAACCCTCTCATGAAACCCTCTCATGAAACCCTCTCATGAAACCCTCTCATGAAACCCTCTCATGAAACCCTCTCATGAAACCCTCTCATGAGACCCTCTCATGAAACCCTCTCATGAAACCCTCTCATGAAACCCTCTCATGAAACCCTCTCATGAAACCCTCTCATGAAACCCTCTCATGAAACCCTCTCATGAAACCCTCTCATGAAACCCTCTCATGAAACCCTCTCATGAAACCCTCTCATGAAACCCTCTCATGAAACCCTCTCATGAAACCCTCTCATGAAACCCTCTCATGAAACCCTCTCATGAAACCCTCTCATGAAACCCTCTCATGAAACCCTCTCATGAAACCCTCTCATGAAACCCTCTCATGAAACCCTCTCATGAAACCCTCTCATGAAACCCTCTCATGAAACCCTCTCATGAAACCCTCTCATGAAACCCTCTCATGAAACCCTCTCATGAAACCCTCTCATGAAACCCTCTCATGAAACCCTCTCATGAAACCCTCTCATGAAACCCTCTCATGAAACCCTCTCATGAAACCCTCTCATGAAACCCTCTCATGAAACCCTCTCATGAAACCCTCTCATGAAACCCTCTCATGAAACCCTCTCATGAGACCCTCTCATGAAACCCTCTCATGAAACCCTCTCATGAAACCCTCTCATGAAACCCTCTCATGAAACCCTCTCATGAAACCCTCTCATGAAACCCTCTCATGAAACCCTCTCATGAAACCCTCTCATGAAACCCTCTCATGAAACCCTCTCATGAAACCCTCTCATGAAACCCTCTCATGAAACCCTCTCATGAAACCCTCTCATGAAACCCTCTCATGAAACCCTCTCATGAAACCCTCTCATGAAACCCTCTCATGAAACCCTCTCATGAAACCCTCTCATGAAACCCTCTCATGAAACCCTCTCATGAAACCCTCTCATGAAACCCTCTCATGAAACCCTCTCATGAAACCCTCTCATGAAACCCTCTCATGAAACCCTCTCATGAAACCCTCTCATGAAACCCTCTCATGAAACCCTCTCATGAAACCCTCTCATGAAACCCTCTCATGAAACCCTCTCATGAAACCCTCTCATGAAACCCTCTCATGAAACCCTCTCATGAAACCCTCTCATGAAACCCTCTCATGAAACCCTCTCATGAAACCCTCTCATGAAACCCTCTCATGAAACCCTCTCATGAAACCCTCTCATGAAACCCTCTCATGAAACCCTCTCATGAAACCCTCTCATGAAACCCTCTCATGAAACCCTCTCATGAAACCCTCTCATGAAACCCTCTCATGAAACCCTCTCATGAAACCCTCTCATGAAACCCTCTCATGAAACCCTCTCATGAAACCCTCTCATGAAACCCTCTCATGAAACCCTCTCATGAAACCCTCTCATGAAACCCTCTCATGAAACCCTCTCATGAAACCCTCTCATGAAACCCTCTCATGAAACCCTCTCATGAAACCCTCTCATGAAACCCTCTCATGAAACCCTCTCATGAAACCCTCTCATGAAACCCTCTCATGAAACCCTCTCATGAAACCCTCTCATGAAACCCTCTCATGAAACCCTCTCATGAAACCCTCTCATGAACCCTCTCATGAAACCCTCTCATGAAACCCTCTCATGAAACCCTCTCATGAAACCCTCTCATGAAACCCTCTCATGAAACCCTCTCATGAAACCCTCTCATGAAACCCTCTCATGAAACCCTCTCATGAAACCCTCTCATGAAACCCTCTCATGAAACCCTCTCATGAAACCCTCTCATGAAACCCTCTCATGAAACCCTCTCATGAAACCCTCTCATGAAACCCTCTCATGAAACCCTCTCATGAAACCCTCTCATGAAACCCTCTCATGAAACCCTCTCATGAAACCCTCTCATGAAACCCTCTCATGAAACCCTCTCATGAAACCCTCTCATGAAACCCTCTCATGAAACCCTCTCATGAAACCCTCTCATGAAACCCTCTCATGAAACCCTCTCATGAAACCCTCTCATGAAACCCTCTCATGAAACCCTCTCATGAAACCCTCTCATGAAACCCTCTCATGAAACCCTCTCATGAAACCCTCTCATGAAACCCTCTCATGAAACCCTCTCATGAAACCCTCTCATGAAACCCTCTCATGAAACCCTCTCATGAAACCCTCTCATGAAACCCTCTCATGAAACCCTCTCATGAAACCCTCTCATGAAACCCTCTCATGAAACCCTCTCATGAAACCCTCTCATGAAACCCTCTCATGAAACCCTCTCATGAAACCCTCTCATGAAACCCTCTCATGAAACCCTCTCATGAAACCCTCTCATGAAAACCCTCTCATGAAACCCTCTCATGAAACCCTCTCATGAAACCCTCTCATGAAACCCTCTCATGAAACCCTCTCATGAAACCCTCTCATGAAAACCCTCTCATGAAACCCTCTCATGAAACCCTCTCATGAAACCCTCTCATGAAACCCTCTCATGAAACCCTCTCATGAAACCCTCTCATGAAACCCTCTCATGAAACCCTCTCATGAAACCCTCTCATGAAACCCTCTCATGAAACCCTCTCATGAAACCCTCTCATGAAACCCTCTCATGAAACCCTCTCATGAAACCCTCTCATGAAACCCTCTCATGAAACCCTCTCATGAAACCCTCTCATGAAACCCTCTCATGAAACCCTCTCATGAAACCCTCTCATGAAACCCTCTCATGAAACCCTCTCATGAAACCCTCTCATGAAACCCTCTCATGAAACCCTCTCATGAAACCCTCTCATGAAACCCTCTCATGAAACCCTCTCATGAAACCCTCTCATGAAACCCTCTCATGAAACCCTCTCATGAAACCCTCTCATGAAACCCTCTCATGAAACCCTCTCATGAAACCCTCTCATGAAACCCTCTCATGAAACCCTCTCATGAAACCCTCTCATGAAACCCTCTCATGAAACCCTCTCATGAAACCCTCTCATGAAACCCTCTCATGAAACCCTCTCATGAAACCCTCTCATGAAACCCTCTCATGAAACCCTCTCATGAAACCCTCTCATGAAACCCTCTCATGAAACCCTCTCATGAAACCCTCTCATGAAACCCTCTCATGAAACCCTCTCATGAAACCCTCTCATGAAACCCTCTCATGAAACCCTCTCATGAAACCCTCTCATGAAACCCTCTCATGAAACCCTCTCATGAAACCCTCTCATGAAACCCTCTCATGAAACCCTCTCATGAAACCCTCTCATGAAACCCTCTCATGAAACCCTCTCATGAAACCCTCTCATGAAACCCTCTCATGAAACCCTCTCATGAAACCCTCTCATGAAACCCTCTCATGAAACCCTCTCATGAAACCCTCTCATGAAACCCTCTCATGAAACCCTCTCATGAAACCCTCTCATGAAACCCTCTCATGAAACCCTCTCATGAAACCCTCTCATGAAACCCTCTCATGAAACCCTCTCATGAAACCCTCTCATGAAACCCTCTCATGAAACCCTCTCATGAAACCCTCTCATGAAACCCTCTCATGAAACCCTCTCATGAAACCCTCTCATGAAACCCTCTCATGAAACCCTCTCATGAAACCCTCTCATGAAACCCTCTCATGAAACCCTCTCATGAAACCCTCTCATGAAACCCTCTCATGAAACCCTCTCATGAAACCCTCTCATGAAACCCTCTCATGAAACCCTCTCATGAAACCCTCTCATGAAACCCTCTCATGAAACCCTCTCATGAAACCCTCTCATGAAACCCTCTCATGAAACCCTCTCATGAAACCCTCTCATGAAACCCTCTCATGAAACCCTCTCATGAAACCCTCTCATGAAACCCTCTCATGAAACCCTACATCAGCAAGGAGGACAAAGATCATGAGACCCCCTCTAGAGGAAGCTTAGTTTCAGCTTCTGAGCTTGGAAGCATGAGACACGAGTCAACTGTTGCATCATGCATGCACGTAATTCAGACGGTAGTTACATATATGTT